ACCCCATAGCATCTGGAAACTACCAGGGCACTCCTGCTTTTCTGAACATGGTGCCCTAGTTCTTTCCAACACGTGGGCTGCTGCTTTTCTGAAAGCCTTTGGACAGTCACCATTTCTCTGAGACCTGTGACCCCCAGATATCGTTTCTCAAATCGCCTTGTTTTGCTATAAACGTCTTCAAAGGGCTCCTCACTGTCTCTCTGAGACCAGTCCCTTTTCTAAGTATCCCATCATAGTCACCTTCCTAAAAAGCAAGTAGAACTGGGTTCCTTCACTGCACAGAAGCCTTTATGCCTTTCTTTACCTTTCACTGATAAGGTGAAACCTCTCCAGCCAGACCCTCAGGATCCTCATATGATGGCTGTCATCCCTCTGCAACCCCTTTTCATACCCTGCAATCAAGCCAATCTTAACTATTTTTCACTTTCTGCCCCAATCTTTCAATCTCTGTGGTGTCTGGAATAACTTTCCTTACCCCCCAGGAGAGGCCAATCAGAATCCATCAGAATCTCAAAGACAAAAGCATCCCTACTGTTTTACTAATTCAGAGATTTTGTCTGACGTCCATAACATTTATCCTTGGATTTACAAGGCCTTAAATTCTCTGAAAGCAGCAACCGATCAAGAAGAATGAACACAGAGTCAGACTTAGATGTGAATATTTTGCTCTGTGGCCACAGGCACACAGGCAGGTTGCTTACTGTCTTTAATCCCCATTTCCCCACATGGAAGATTGAAGTAACAGCACTCATAGGATTGTGGTGGAAATTACATGAAATAGGAAATAAGCATCTGGAACCCAAACATATTTAAGGATTTTATGTTTATTTGTTTGTTTTTCTATTAGGTACTGATTACTCAGTTTGGGTTGGAGCTGCCTGTGGTAACGAAGTGTCACTTTTTAAAACATTTTTTTGGCAACCGGCTATAAAATATAAATGCAGATTGGTCGTGGTGGTTCATGCCTGTAATCTCAGCACCTTGAGAAGCTAAGGTGGAGGACTGCTTGAGCCCAGGAGTTCGGGATCAGCATGGGCAACATAGCTAGACTCTGACTTTACAAAAAGAAAAAAAAAATCCTGACATGGTAGCGTGTGCCTGTAGTCCCAGCTGTTTGAGAGGCTGAGGCAGAAGAAAGATCATCTTGGTCCAGGAGGTCAAGGCTGTGGGTGAGGTATGATCATGCCACTGTACTACTCCAGTCTGGGTGATGTAAGACCTCGACCCCCCCCAAAACACACACACACACACACACACACACACACACACACACACACACACACACACATACACACACGTGTGAACATTTGAAAATTTCACATTGATTCTTATTTTTCTGTAGGGAAGCAAAAAAAGAAAACTCTTACCCCAATTATTCTTCCTTGAAATGAAGAGAGAGGGAAGGAAGGAATAAGTGAGAGAGAAGGAAAAAGGGAAGAAGTCAGAAAAGGAGGGTGAAGGGAAGACGGGTGGGGGAGAGATACTTAATGTTTTTATATGAGAAAAGTGAAATGTTATTCAACTGAAAACAGAGAAGTGCTTCCACAACACTGTATTTATAAAGCCTAATTCCTTTAGAATTCAAAAATAGTATAAACACAGGTCAGCCTGCAAATCAAATAAGTGTTTGTCATCAACTTCCCACTGCTACTCCCCCAAACTTTCTGAAGTAACCTGCTCATGTGTGCCTCTAGATGAGGCTTGAGCAACAGCTTGTCTGTTTTCTTAACATGGCTTGGCCAGGAGTTGTGAACCTTGGCTCAGAAGACCTGATTTAGCAGTGACCTGTCAAAATGCCTCACAACTTAGCACTGGGCATACACTTTGCTGAGTAGGGCTGTGAGCCAAACTGGGTCTTGGCTCTCTGCAGAAAAGAGTTATCCTAAATAACCACAGTAAAAGGAAGTGGGGAGGTTCTGTTCTCATCAAGCAAGTGGAGTTGGTTAAAATTTGTCATTTGCTAAGCCTCCCACAATGAAAATAGCAACTATAAATGTGAGAAAAATATCCCAGGTCCTAACTTTTACATGTTACAGGCTCAGTTCTCTTTTGGGGATGCTGAAGATGTCTCCCAAAAGAAACCTGCATTGCTTTTCATCTGTCACAGAGCTTGGCTTTCCACCGGTCATCCTAAGAAATCCTAAGAACTTCAAAATGCATTAGTCCCCAGTGAACTGGATCTCTGTAATATATTCATTCCAAGCGTTTTGGCAAAGTAATCGATGTCACTAGTTTCATTGGTGGCAGGTTATTTTCCACTTGTCAAATAATCTTTTCCTATTTAGGAGTCAGAAATAAAAACATGAACTCATAAAGGAATTGAATAATTTGGAACATGAACAACATAAGTATTTATTTGAAAAACATTTTCCATTTAAGTAAAATGACTATAGTAGCTTCTTACTTCTAATTTGCCCTCACAGTCACTTTTTATTCATCATATTCAAAGAGATTGCTACAGAAAACGATTTCACCAAGTATTTAGAAAAATATATACAGTCTAATAGAAAGTTAATCCAAACAACAAAGCTAGGCAACATCAAGCTAAGATGTGAGACAAACTGACACTTATAAACACAAATAAATAAATATGTACAAAAGAGTCTATGCCCCAGATAAAAAAAAAATCTTTACAATGCAAGCAAATGGTGACAAGAATGGAAAGTATCTCAGGATCCTGGGCTACAACTCTAACACAATGTAGTTTTAAAAGGGGGGCGGGGAGTAAAAAAAAAAAAAACCAGAAAGAGAGACTGAATTGCTATTATTTTAAAAAGTAGGCTGAGCTACATTTTGGCTCCCCAGCTTAATTCCTGCCCCTGTTGTGGACTAAGTGAAGGTGAGAACTAAGAAGATTATTTAGCTCAATCTTTTAAATCCATTTGCAAATGTTTCTATCCAGCTGTTTCTTCATTTTTCCTCACCAGGTTATTGAAAATATCTAACGTGGAGCTAACATTGTTGTCAAATATGAAAAAAAAAAAAAAAGATTTTTTAGATTTGTATGAATATGAATAGAAATCAAAAGCAAAGCCTTTTCTGAAGCTATATCTTAATTATTATTAACTAAATAAGCACTTTGGGCAGAAATCTCATAGTAGAAAGCTAATTAAAATCTACCATGAATATATCTAAGGTTTGTGGGGGAAAGTATATGAATATTCTGTGACTATTTAAGAATAATTTTTATCTATATGTAACTTCTGCCAAAATAAGCAGCCTGTTAATATATGCCTATTGAAAAAGATTTGGCTCTGCTGTAGTGAATCCCAGTGATCTTAGATTTACTATTCTTTCCTACTAAATACAACCCCCCTCCTCCACCCCGAAAAAGCCAGGCTGGGCAATGATCATGTCTCCCAGGATGGTGCTCCAAGATACTACAAAATGGAATGGTAATAAAAACCTCATTATTTCATCATCTTCTTGAGCCAGGCAAACAGCTTCATGATTGAAGCTCAGCAAAAGGTGAAAGGGCCCTTGGGTTGCTGCATGGCCTAAAAGGCCACCCATGTCTCAGACTAGAACTACCTGTTTTTTGTGCGGAGAGAAAAGCCTCTCAGTGATGGGTTCTGACCTCTGCCTTTAAGAGACTGGCTCTGCCAGAATGTCTCCTTTTCTCATCACATATGCTGCCTCCAAAAACCTGATACTTCCAGATGACCCAGAACAAATATCAAAGCACAGCATGCACAGAGACTGATTTCTAAGAAACTGCATAGGACTCCATCATCTGAGACCGATTAAAATTCTGTCTTCTACACACTCATGAGCAAGCAAGCATTACTTAGAATAGTCTGAAAGTGAGGTAAGCTGCATATTATGCATGGCTTGTATGCAGCAGCCTGATCCGACCCGCCTGGGCAACTTGGCGAGACCTCATCTCTACAATAAATCAAAAAATTAGCCAGGCGTGGTAGCACATGCCTGTAGTTCTAGCTACTTGGAAGGCTGAGGTGGAAGGATCTCCAGAGCCCAGGAGGTTAAGGTTGCGGTGGCCAGGAGCGTGCCACTGCACTCCAGTCTGGGCAACAGAGTGAGACTCCAGCTCAAAAAAAAAACAAAAACCAAAAAAAACCCATCATCTCACCAGATCTCCTTGGGCTCTTATACACTATAATCAGAGGACTTAGATACAAATAGTTTTTAGGCTAGCAATTGTAGACCCACACACTTATAAATTATTTTGATTATTATGAGTCACGAATATGTCTTCCTTTATATACCTTAGAATAAAACTCTCAATAGGGGAAGTGAGAACCTTTTGTTTATGCAATGGGAAAAGTCTTAAAGCCTCTCGAACAAGGACAGGACCACAGACTCTCAATCATGTGTCTCCTAAAGGAAAATTCCTCTGCACACAGCATGATTCATGGAAGTCCCCCCTCTTAACTAGGTCAAAATGTGGTGAAAACTTTTCTTAAGCATGTTATGTTTCTGAAGCTTTAACATTCAATACAGTAAGAAAAAAGTTCTTTTTATTCTTTGGGTTGAACGTTAAACATTTTTAATCTGGGGTTGAAATTTCATTGAAAAAGAAAAAATGCTACTGCATTCATAGAAAGTAGCACCAGGATGGGACTTGTGGGCACCCAAAATAGTTACAAATATTAGTATTCTTTTTATGGCTGAGAAAGATGATGTAGAAAATGGGCATATCCAGACCTAACTATTAGGTGGGGTATAAATGAGCTCTAAACTAGGGTTTGCCTCTCCCTTGTCCTCTAATTTTAATATCTCCCCAGAGTTCTAGTTAGTCTGACACAATTATACATTTTTAAAAAAATCATATCTCTTGTGGCTACTGAGTCCTATTGGCCACTCTCAGTACTGCAGTTGTGATGATAGAAACTTCTCCATGCAAGAAATATGCCGAAAAGAGAAATTCTGAATTTCACAAGATACATTCCTCATATATATGCAGTTACCTAGGTAATAGCACATTTATATCTGCTAGTTGTAGTTTTCACTGCTTGCAGCTCTTCATGTTCCTGCAGACTGATTCCTTTTTCTTACATTAAAGACATTAAAACTTTGTGCTGTGGCTGAAGGTGTCTGACATGATAATATTTTTATAAAAGTTATCTGAATGAGCATTGTAATAACCCTTGACCTTATCAATGACCTGATGGACAGGGATGATTGCTGTTTGTTCTCCATCAGCATGAGTCAGTTTTGACAAGGACTTGTCCATGGAAGCATTGTCTGCAAGAAATGATACAAGAAATTAGACTTCAAGATGAGCTGGTGACATGCCTGCGGGCCACCATACAGTATACTCTGTGTTACACCTTAGAAAAACACACAAAGAAAATGAGCTCCAGTTCTTTCTCAGGTCATAGGCAGCACTAAAATTTCATGTTTTTTCATCTTGAAAGCACACTCCTGATATTTACCGAATGTCAATTTACATCCTAGAAATTTGTATTGTGTGGCTTTGTCATAAGAAATATTCTTCTAAGCGGCATTTTTCAAAGAGTCAGTGAATAAAACAACCAGAAAACCACTTCAAATATACATGTACCAAATGGATTGAAAGAAATACCAGATTATGTAATAAAAGAATTAAAATGTGCTGAAATATTTATGGAATAAATTACATGATATCTAAAATATGTTTTCCAAATAATATAGGGAGGGAAAAATGGGTAGAGGTATATAACTGGCTATGAGTTGATGGGTACAAAGGAATTCACTATCATATCCTCTCTACTTTATATATACATTTGTCAATTTGCATAATAAAAATTTTTAGAAAATTAAATTTAAGGGATTTGCAGAATAAAAGTGAGCAAAATTAAAAACATAAAAGGCTTCTTTGAACACAATTTTTCATGGTTTATAGATTGGTAAATGACTGAAATACAATAAAAAGGGCATCTTGTATAATTTATTTATGTAATTTATTCTTTAAATTATAAAAATCAAAATTCACTTTATAAAAATATTTTAATATAAAAACCACTTGTTTTTATTATGTTATTGTTTCAGAATGATGATATTGCTGACATCAGCAAAATCAGAGCAATTGATAATAATAAAAGACTGCTAAATAAACTTCAGTCCTCAATTTTTCAGTATCATTTATTTTAGATATTATTTCCCTAGACCTAAAACTTCTAAAATTGGCTCAGATAGTCCTCTGAATCTCACGTAAGCTCAATTATGTATAAACACACAAGGTTGCCATGTGACCTATGAATATCTTTTAAGTACCTCACTCTCCCAGTACACTTTCAAGAAAAAAAAAAATCTACACTCAAGTTAATAAAATTACCGAAATTTTACACTGTTGGAGAAAATATGAACTTTCAGGTGTATCTTTTCTATACATGGTGGAAGAGGGAAAAACTCCACCCCAAAAAACTGCTTTTAGAAATTATGGCTCCAAAACTAGAATGCTCACTCCAGTGTCTATGTTTTGGGTAAGTTGGACCCAGTATATGACATTATATTTAAAATCCATCAATAATTGGTAAAAGCCATCATCATCATGATATCTGTTGTCTTTGGAAACTATTCAAATTGCTCAACTGTTGTCTTATGTTGGAGTAGACACAAAATAAGACGATAGGAAATGGTACTCTCATCCCACACTAAAGGATGCAAGAGAGAATAGATGGTTCATGGAGAGAATGGGTAGACTGAAGCATGATGGAATGACTGAAGCATGTCCCAACATTGGAGAGAAAAAGACTCAAAGAGTCATAACATAAGGACCCCTCCCCACTTGGATCTCAGCAAGTTGACTGATTCAGTGCTTTCTTTCAGTTCATATATTCACTAGCCATTGGTTTTCTAGTGCAGATTTTTCTATTCATTTAAGTATCAATAATGAATAATTTGTACTTGATGTTTATATAAAACCACACATCCTCAGAGAAATGTCAAGGATATATTTGCTCTACTTCCTGATAACTTCCAGGGCCATGTACTTTTAGAGATTTTGACCAGCTCTATTCCAAAGATGTCATGCAATTTGATGGGTCTTCACAGTCTAGTAAGGTAAAATTCTGAATAATGACTGTATTCCCAGTCTCTGGTTAGATATTACATTACGAGTAACACAGATTGTGATTATAGCTGCCAGTTTGAAAGCCAGGGGCTAGGGATATGAACTTTTATTTGACCTATGCTGAAATTTCAAGCAGATAAAAATCCTCACAAAGCAGGCTTGAAATTGACAATTTCACTTACATGACTTCTATGAATGTACCATGACATATTCAGTAATCCATAAGAGCTGTGGGAAAGTTAAGAATTTCATGTTCCTCTGCAACAAATCTTCTCTTGAACTGCTTTTTGTCATTATTTTACATAATATGTGACCCACTCACTCCTGACCATGGTACATTTCCTAGAAGGAGCAGCTTGCAGATACCCCATGCAGAGAAGAGCCAGCACAGCACACTATCATTTGAAATTTCAGAAATTCCAGCTGAGTGCAGTAATCATTGTGCTAGCTTAAAAGTATTGTAAAGAATAAGCCATTTTGCTGGTGCAGCAAGAATCTTAGCTTAATTCATGCATATATTCTCTTATTACCTTGCAAAAAAATTCATGCATTCAAAAAAGTAATGAAAGTTTACCTGAATGATCCACTTTTGTTGAAGGAATGCTCTTAGGAGACATTATCTACACCATAAACATATGAATGTCTAAATCAATTCCAAGGAATAAATCAACTAGATAGCCATGATGATATGCAGTGACTTTTTGGATACCCTGGATGATCCCCAGTATACCAGTTGTCCCACTGAGAAATGGCCGGATAGCCAAAGGCTGTTTGAAGTCAGTTGGTTGGAAACCAGATTTTATAATATCACTGAAGTAATATCATATAATTAACTATATTCTTATGCTAGTTGACAAGAACCCACTTAGCCCAAAGTTTTCTTGCTAAGAGAGGTAGAAAACAAGAACATATTATTTAAAAAACAAAACCAAATGAAGAACACACAACATTTTAAAATAGTAAAGTCTGCCTTTGGTATCTCCATCTCTGCATTTCCTCTTTTATCTTCTTGTCAGTTTTCCCCAGAATCCTATAGCCCTTTCTTAATACTTCCAAAATACCCCATATTCCAAATTACCTGGCTTATTATCTTCTCTCCCTCTTTAGGAGTAGCATTTCTTCAGGCTAGCTATTTTCAGCTGTGTTAAGAGGAAAGCAATTCAATTGGTTCAACTCCTATTCACTCGTAACTAACTAATAATGCATTATGTGCATCTAGAAGGAGAGGCAAAATGAGCATCTAATTTTAAGCCTGGTTAAAGTGAAAAAAATAATTCATTATAAGTAAAGGATATTTTATGCCAGGGAATCACCAAATAGGTAGAGCAATCTACCTTCGACCTGCTATCAATTTCTTCACATAGCTATTCTCAAACAGGGTTGCACAGACTTAATTATAAGCAAAATTATGTAGATGACTCAAAGTCTACACCTTATTCCAGAAGAGAATCCACAGCTTACATTCAACTCCTCCTAAAAAATGACCTTGGTCCCAAGATGCTTTTAGAATTGTCCTAAGTTGCTCTGAGTCCTTAGATCTTTCTTTAATTAATTTTGGAAAAAGCAAACTCTCTAAACACAACATTTTTTTCCCATAGTACTGTCATCAATCAGGCAGTGGCCACTCCAGTAGCAAGACTCAGAGGCAGTGCAAACAGGGACATGTGTAAGAATTCAGATATACATCAGGCTCATTTGCCATTCAAGTGTTTGCAAGATGAACAATCACAGACAGAGCACACACCTTACTCCCTATTTGCAAAACGCCAAGCATTTATCTTCCCTGTGCCATTCACCTCTGCTCATGTTTAACAGATAACCAAATTAAAAATTAACAAGTTATTTCCATTGTCCTTTTAGACGTATCTTTAATTAGGAAAGTGCTGTGTTCTAAGTGTGGACAGCTGTCTGCTAGGGGTTTAATAGGATTTAAGGGTTTAATTAGTATTAAAGCAATTCTATTATTCCCATTGAAATCATTAAAAGGTTACACCTTTTCACATCACTTACTGGCTATCAAGTACTGTAAAATAATATTATTTTTTTGAGATGGAGCTTTTGCCATGTTGCCCAGGTGGTAGTGCAGTGTCCCTATCATAGCACACTGCAGTCTTAAACCTCCATGCTTAAACCAACCTCCCCGCTCAACATCCTGAGCAGCTAGTACTACAGGCACATACCAATGCACCTGGCATAAAATATTTTTTATTTTCATGTTGTTGTCAGGACTGTTCACATACATGTTCAGTGTTAGAATGTGTAGTAATCATATCATGATATGTATATAAGATGAATAAAGACAGTGTTTCTTACAGCTCCGTATCACTTTCCAAACATTATGTTCTCTATTCTTCCATATTTAGTCAGTAATTTAAAGAGCAGTTGCCAATAACACAGCCAATGGTTAAGGAATTAAGTCTTAAATAAAATATACTTCCTAACTGGTGCTTCTTCCTGTTTCCATGACAACTCGTCAAGTAACTTTAGTACTATATTGAAATAATCTGCAATTCAATTTCTACATTTTTAAAATAAAAATACATAACTTTTTAAATGAAATAACATGATTTTGAAAGAAAACTAAGTTTCTAATCAAATGATGAAGTTAAACAATATTCAGAGTTAATGATATCATGGCTATATGGATAGAGTTTGGGTTATAACATTTTTTAAAGGGAAAAATATTCTTAAAAGTGTTGAATAAGGTCTTCAAACAGATTTTTATTTTGATACATATAAAACAGGCACCCTAATCAGGCATTGCAATCCATCAATCTTCATGATATGCTAATATTCGCAATGAAAATGTGATAAAAATTGTACCAGAAAACATCTTTATCAGGGCCAGAATGACTCACCTGTGTGGCTATTTCTTTTGAAATAGCTTGTAGAGCTGGACTTAGATTTGGATGTAACATAGGTTGAGTTGGAACCAATGGAGCTTGAAGACAAAGATTTTCCCAGATTATCAGAACTTTTCTTGATGATATTGGTAGCTGTCTTACTCCAGTCTGAAAGAAATGACATCAGTCTTTATGGAGATACTTCATGGGGAACATGCTCTGCCTTGAAAAATCAGCATTGCGATCTTTATCAGGAGCATTTGATTTTCTGAGATGTTGGCAAGGGTTCAAAGAAGAGATTGACATGTAAACAATCATAAATTTTTTAATATATATTTTTATTTTAAAATTGTGAGGCACAGTTAAGGGTTAGGTATACAAATATTCATTGTGCAGGTACCCTTGTTGATGAGGTGTGCCCCCCTTTCCCCAGAGCAATAATAAATTGAAGAAAGAGATACTTTCTTACTTTGACCTTGTATATGTACTGTTTAAAATCCCACTAAAATATCCTAAGGGTGAGAAGTAACCACTGATGGTAAAAAAAAAAAAAAAGGAATATTTTTCTTTAAATATATATATTTTTTATACTGAGAAAAACCTCTTTGCCAAGTAATGTCATTGAAAATCTCAAAAAATGTGGAAAGGTGAGTCTGGTAAATTGAAACCTCTGGAGATTTGGGTTGTTAAACTAGACAGGAAACCTTGGCCAACTCATTTAACCTGTCCAGAATTCATGCTTCTCCTCTGCAGAATAGAAGGACTGGGTCCAAAACGCTCACATATCCTCCAGCCCTAACATTCTAAGATTCCAACTAAGCATCTTCACATGCTCCACTTTTACAATTTGTTACTATTGGATTTGGGTTGGTCTGACAATGGAAGAATAAAGGACAAATGTTTCCAACTACTTTTAGATGTAAAATCCAATCAACAACATGACCCTTTACCTGAGTTGTCTGCTAACCGGAATCTACCACAGCAGAGATGCCGCCTCCATTGTTTCTGAACATTCTCCTTCATAGCACAGTGGAAGATAAATATAAATAAGCCTATAACAAAAGAAAATATAAATCTTTAAGTCAATCAACACATTTTAAAGATAAATCTTGTAAAATACATGGATTCCTCTTTATTTTAAATTTTTTACATCTAAGACGCTAAGAAACAAAGATCTGAAGGAAAGGGATTTTGTAGTATGTAGCAGGCATTTTAATCTGCTAGAACACAAAGGTACAGATAAAACTAGGATAACTAATGGATCTGATTCTGTCTTTGCCTGTTCTGCTCAGCATTGGTTATGACAACCTAAAAACCAAGCTGAAATAAGCAACATTTAATTAAAAAGTATTTAATATTTCCCTTATATTTGTCTTAAAATTATGTTAACACATTCTATAAAATTTAGAAAAAAAGAGAAAACTGAAAATATGTACAAGCTCATCATCTGTTCAAATTTGTGTATTCTGAGCATGTTACTTATGTATATTATAGTTATATTCATAGGATATTGGTTGGGCAATAGAAAACTGGTATTTTGCAGGTCAAACATGGCCCCAAATCAGCAAAGTCATATGACTCCACACCTGGCCCATTTTAGTTTCTCAACGTTTTAACACAGAAATATTTACATAATGGAAAAGTCTTCGTATTTATAGTCACTCCCTGCAATCAAAAATGGTGTCATTTGTGCTTTGGAAGCCAATTCCTTTTAACATTTCAGGTAATTTGCTTCTGCATTTTTAACCCTCTCCTTGCAGCCTCATCAACTGCTCCCTTTACTCCTCTATTCTTGGCTATTTCCATTACCTTACAAGTATATTCTAGTAACACTTTTTTAGAAACAAAAAATTCCCCCCTTAACCTCCAATCATCTTTCAGCTTCATCTTCTTTATTCCCTTGCCCAATAGAACATGTTGATATGGTTAACTATTGCTGTCTATACGTTTTCTCATACCTTCTGTTCACCCACTCCAAATAAGCTGCTATCTACATTCATGACCCCACTACAATTAATTGTGTAAGACCGTAATGACTTCCAGATTGCTAAATTTCCCACTGCCACTTGACTAGACCTCTTGGTAGCATTCAACACAATCAAAAATTCCCTCATTCTTGATGCCATTTTCTCTCAGTTTTCTTCCTAATTTGGTGGGGATTCCTTCCTGGCCTCCTTAGTAGATTATTGTACTTTAGTTTTTATTCTTCTACTTAACTCATTACTTGAAATGTCCATGACTAGCTTCTGGGTTTCCATTTCTTCAATGGCTACACTGTCTCAGTGGTACTAATACTTCTAAAATATAAGTACTAATTTTTATATTTAGTCCTACTCCTTTCTATCCCCAACACTGCCAGGATTCCAACCTATTTTGCTCATAAGAAATCTTCACTTAGCTGCAGTTCACACCTCAGATGTTCTGAACAGTAGTTCTCCTAATCCTATCCCTCAAACTACACTAGCTTTCCTTCTATTTCTCTATGTATCAAGCTCATTTCTGTCCAATATCACATTGAATGCCTTCTTCCAGATCTTTCCATAACAAGTTCCTACCTAACATTCAGATCTCAGACCAACAGGTAATTCCTCAGAGAAACCATCATCAACTAATAAAAAAAATTAGCCTCTGGTTACTCCCTTTCACATACCTATTTTCCTCATAGTATTCATCTATACTTGATAGTGTTGTATGCCTCATTTATTCATTTGCTCGATTGACTCTTCCTAGTAAATAATAAGCTCCAAGAGAACAGGTATACTTGTCTATCCAATGCTGTGCTGGCCATGCTAAGAACAATGCCAGGAATTATGTAGGAACTTGATGAATGTTTATTGATGGAAGGAACGGTAACCATGATCAATCAATCATTAATTCCACATGAGTTAATTAAATTCTTACATGCACTATAATGTGCTAAGTGTTTTTGGAGATGGGGGTAAAAAATAGGAGTGAGTGGTGCACAAATTAAGGGATATTGTACAATGAAAATATACTTAAGGCAACAATTTCTAAAAAGCATGTAAATAAGTCGCTGGCGTATACCCTAGAAATATACTATACTATGCAGTATATCTCCAAGGGGAGGGAGAACTTTTTAGGTGATCTAAGTCTTGAACTGAACCACAAGAAACCTTTGGGTAGGAAAATGAGGGCAGTTTCTGGAAGGGTAATTCAATCGGCAACTGTTTATTAAACCTTGCTAAGCAGGAGTCACTGTGTTTTAGGAGTTTGATATCCAAAAGTGAACAAGGTAGACAATCCTTGTATTCGTGGAGGAAAGGGTCTGGCATGGAGTAGCATAACAGTAATAGCATAACAGTAAAAGTAATTGCAACACCTTTGAAGGACAATTAAAATGTGTTCCTTCTGAATATGGAGACTTTATTGAGAAAACTGTAAATTATATATATTTTTATACAATTGAAAAAGTGAAAAGAAGTATTGACAGTACTCTTGATGTGTTAAATTTGTGAAATGCCTGAGGTTATGCTTACATATTTTATGTTTTAATAACTTAATTCAAAATGGCACATAATTTCATTTCAGAATAAATTATGTTATTATGAAATGTTAGAAAAGGAGCTTGTTGGATTTTTACATGTTGGACCCTTATCTCAGTGAAATGACCCTAGGCTGATACTTCTCTGGGTTTAGCTTCTTATTGAGTTATCAGTAGGCCCTGAGCACGGTGCTCAGCATCTAGCATACAATGTCTATTAATTTCTGTTGAAATTACTGAAGAATGATTGCACATTTTAACTTAATGAGAAGTGCCATTATAAAAATATTGACTACATTTTGGTCCCTGATTTGAAATGCTTGACCAGCCTTTTAAAAAATGTCTGAGAAATTCAAACACATTTATCTCTGAGAGACATGAGACATTCAATGACCTGTAATACTACAATGTATGTATTATTACTATGAAATCATTATATATATTAATATATTTATTTATACAAATAAAATATTGTTTATTATTATTACTTTATCAATTATTATTAATCAAGTCATGAATGAAGAAAATATATCCTACTGTCCTATTTCTTTGAAATGTTATATTAGAAAGGGTAGGGAAGTTCTAATTTAACATAAAGAAAGCTCTGATAAATAGGAATCAAACTTCAATCATTTAGAAAACAAGCAAATACCTCATGAAGGTCCCTGTGTTGTGGGCTGGGAGAAAGAACTGGAGAGAAGACATCTGCCTGTACACAGCCCAGGCCTATGCTGGGGCATGATCAAGTCTCAGAGCAAGAAAGGATCTTCCACACTCAGAAACTCTTTGAAGTAGGCCTTCCCAGGAAGTAGGGAGTAGGACCTCATCTTCACACTCTAAATGATTAAATCGGATTGCTTTACAAAGCCATCCCAAACCTACCAAATTCTCTAATCAGTTGGCTAATACAGTAAATCCTCTCAATAAGCAATAAACTTTGTATTGCCAGTAATGCACCAGTAGTGTGAATAAACAAAAGTATATAAATAACTTGAATTGGTTAATAGATACATGTATTTATTTATTTATTTTTTGAGTTGGAGTCTCATTCCATCGCCCAGACTGGAGTGCAGTGGCCGCTCCCGGCCACTGCAGCCTCGACCTGCTGGGCTCCGGCGATCCTTCCGCCTCAGCCTTCCGAGTAGCCGGAATTACAGGCATGCGCTACCACGCCCAGCTGATTTTTTGATTTATTGTAGAGATGAGGTCTCGCTGCTCAGGTGGGTCTCGAACCCGTGGGCTCAGGCAATCCACTCACCCTTTTATGTTTTGAAGATGGAGTGGCAGCTTGAGAGTAGGGTAGAGGGAAGGAAACCTCGGGTAAGAAGGTCAAAGAGGTTTCAGATGAAGGAGGCTGCCGTTCTAAGAAGGAGGTCCGTTGACTCAGGTTTACCCTATTTTCCTTGAATGGGGTCAGAATTTCCAGAATGTGCTCTTGGAGGTATTTCTGTCACACAGCTAAAAATATAGTTAACTGTGTATTCTTAAACTCGTGTTTAATAGAATCACATATCAGAACTAGAAGAAATTATAAACTTTAATTTAGAACTTTTGTTCTCAAGTATTAACCTATATATTACTCAAGTTAGAGCTTCCCGTTGAGCAAATGATTTTCTTTAGTTGAGGGTAGAAGGTAGAATTTAGTGAATATTGCTCCCTTTAATAGTCTATTATTCTTTTACAACACTCAGTAGTTTATAAATGTCATACATACTGGAGAAAAAAATTTCAGAGGTTGTGTCTCATGTTTTAAGGACAGAGGAAGAGAACTAGGTCACAGATTTGCTCTTTCAGCCTTGGTGGGGTGAATTATTTTGAGGATCAGATGCTGAACGCAGTCAGAGAGGATAAGGATAAAGACAACACTTAACAAAACAAGTTTTCAGATTGTATAGCACTGCCCTAAATCATAATTATATGACATTAAATGACATTGTCTATTTTAAGGTAATCATGTTTGCCTGTAAATTTATAGGCACCCAATAAGTTTAAGAGACACTGGTATCTAAATTGTATTCAAAATCTGATACATCTCCTCTAAATTATGTGACCGAGAAGTCATTTAAATATTCCATTTTCCACCATAAATTGTGATGCTATGGGACAAAATTTGATAATAAGCATAAGAAATTAGAATTATAAGGAATTTAGGGATGACTATCTTTCACATTCTAAGATATTATATTTATAATGTAAAAATGGTAAATTGTTTAGCCTTGAGACATAGTTCCACTGTAAACCAGAATAGGATTCTCATAATAAATTATTCTCCTATTTGTAGTAACTAGCCCTTTTCCCATGAATTTTAGTTAGTCTGGCAATAAAAATTATACCAAAATTCTTTCAGAACAAAATATCCCTTTTAGAGTTCAGCTGTGGGAAATGTGATAGTCATTTCCACCCTGAACAGCTCACATAAACATTAGGGAAAGTAGACAATATAGCAAGAACACCAAGGATACTAGGAGGCTAACATGAGAAAACAAAGGACTATTCCCCCTTAAAACAAAGGACTATTCCCCCCGCATCTACTTACAGATCTTGGTGCCA